GGGATTAGTAATCGGTTCAGGAAGATGAGAACCATTCGTGGAAAAGTGGTCATTGGGGCTCATTCCATGCCTCTTGATACCCCGACTGACTGCGACGATATCAACTGTTCTTTGCAGGACTAGAAAAAATGCAGTAAAAAGAAGGTACATTATAATTTTGAGAGTACATCTTACAATAAAAATTGGTAAAGGGCTTAAGAAACAGTGATAGAGAGCTGGGATGACAGGAAAAAGGCAAAAGAAACGTATGTACGAATGTGTGAAAACTAGAAGCGAAGTAGTCAATAAATATGAGTAGCCCTTCACTTCCTTAACCACAAGCTTTACCTCATCCCACTCTTCATCGCCCTCATCTTCTCCACTGCCAAGTTGTCCTGGCTTGATCATAGACCGAGATATTCCAGTCTTGTTGTACATATTTATCTGCTCTGGACGGATAGGTCTGTGTGATCCTGAAAAAAAAACGAATTATAATAACAGCCCGAATAGAGGGCAATGTGCCCGTGAACATTCAAAAATGAATGCCGCACATCCAACTCAACCTAGAACGTTTTTTAAAAAAAGGGAAAAAAAGCATTTTTTGAATCCGCTTAGCGTCTTTCAAGGTAATCATAAAGCAAAAATACCCAAGTTAGTATTAGGTTGTCCGGAAAGGAATGCGCGTTCGAGCTTAAAAAATTTTTTATTATAAAAACGAAATTAAACAAGATAAATTCAAAAGACAATCTCCATTAGTATCAATGACTTGTTGTCAACATTTATGCAAAAAATGGATTCCTCTTCTGAAGAACTCGACCGGCTGCGACTCAAAGAAGTTGGACACCCAGAGTTGGACCTTTTTCGCGGTTTGTGAATTTTCTCTCGGCCAGGGAGTTCTGCATCGACCGGAACAGATGGTAATCGATGGTGCCAGGTCTGATCTGTGTGGCGGATGAGGCAGGACTTTCCAGCCCAATTCCTCAATTTTTTTTCGTAAAGCAGTGATTTTTTGGCCACATGTGGATGAGATGTTGTCGTGGATAAATTTTGTCGACGTCGTTTCGACACTTTGAAGACGCAGTGCTGGATCCATGCGGTTCAACTGGTGTTTGCAGATGTCCGCCGTAACCGTCTGACCCGATTCCGGAACTTCAAAGTACATCAAACCTTTGCTATTCCACCAAACACGGAGCATCACCTTTTTGCCGCGTATATCAGGTTTCGGAGTCCGTTTTGGAGGGTCACTGGAGTCTAACCACTGTCCTTTTCTCGTTGCGTTATCGAAGCAGACCCTTTTCTCATTTGATGTAATAATAGAGTCGAAAAAACCGCTGTTCTTGGAGCGACGAAGAAGAATTCCGGCCATTGCCACTCGTGTTGCCTTGTTTGCGTCGCTCAGCTGGGTGCGACCCGCTTTCCCACTTTTTTTTTCCCAAAAAGCAAAGTAAGACATGGATCGAGCTCATCCCCGCCTCTTCTGGTACTGCCACGACTTAATGCGACGATATCAGCCACACCTAGCCAAGTGGGCTCGACAAAGGCTCAACAAGATTATGAGGGGAGGGGGGCTAAACCTGATCTTTTGCTTCTTATTTCCGAACACTTCAAGAATGCGCAACCTCCAACTATACACTCGAAATCCCTGAGTGTGGTAGGGACTTCAGCAGTGCGTGGCGGTGGCTTGCTTTTGAAGAAATGTTTTCATCGACAAAATTTTGGTCGTGTCTATGTCGAAAAGAGAACAAGATGGCAGTTGTCTCAACTGAAATATCCACGAGTAACCCATTCTATGCCATGTTCAAATGCCACGCCCACTCCGTCTCAGGGATAAGGAGTATATTTAGATCGCTTTTCCCTGTTTCGCACCTCCGATCCTCCGTTCTCTTCTCTATTCTGTAGTGTCTACAAGTGTTACTACTTCCTTTCACCTCATCTCGCTGCTCACATTCGTAAATCATAATCCATGCTCCTTATTTCCCTGTACTGAACGGTAATAACTTCTAGGTAGCGTAAAGGAAAAGTGAGCGATACCTTTCGGTCTCACGAAGGCGTCCTAGGAATTACCTATTATGCGTTTTGGTTTTGGGCATTGGAAGAGAACTTCGAATAGACTTCTGAGCCATTACTGCATTTTTCTCCTGCAACCAACGCCTTCAGTATCAATCCAGATTTTGGATAAAGTTTTCGAATGGAGAATGAAATAAGGGTGTCACGCCAGTGTAGTCAAGGGTCATTCCAATGTAATGAAGGGGAGGTGAAAGGGTGTGCCACTCAGCTTGACCACACAATTCAGGTCATCTGCTCTCTTTTGAGGCTGACAATGAGTCTGACAAATCTCGTGAGAGGGTTCATATCAGTTTTGCAAAGACCAAAGATCATGCGTTTTTGTAAAGGGTAAGCAGGTAGCCCCATTCACGTCACTCTGCAGCTCAAGTCTTCTTCGCTGCGGATGATGGGGCGTGCCTGCGCGGCTGCGTTTGACGCAACGCCAACCGTTCTTTTTTCTTCAGGCAAGCGAGAAGACCGTGTCATTCTTCCCATCAGTCGTTATCTACCAGCGTTGTCACTTACCCGCCCCAACAGCTGGTGGATAATATGGATTCGGCGGCTCGGCAACCTAGCCGCGCGAACATCGCGTTGGACCATTAGGATAGCGTGCCGATGGCACATAAAGAGGGAACATAGAACGAATACGCGATCGGGCCCCCCCTCCTATTTTCGAGAGATATAGGAGAGTAGGGTGATGCAGCTGTGTCGATTAGCCTCACCATGCTGCCTACTCTCGCTATATTTTGGGCTTTCCCATTCTCAGAGGGGCGGCTAGACTTTTGATGTGTAATGATAATTCTACTCTCCTATATTTGCTTTCCATTCTCAGAAGCGGCTGACTTCATGAGTGTGGTAACTATAAATTCAGCCACAGTATTGCGAGAGTCGTTGCAAATGGTTCCACCTGCGTGGTATTCGCATCTGGAGATAATTGCCTACGATCAGAGGCTGGGCACACACATCACGCTTTCCCATACTTACATGCGTATAAAAACGATCAGCATCCCTGGAAACGCTAGGGCGTGTGAGGGGCGCGATTTGGATCGCAGCCACAGCCCGCCCGCTAGCTGTTGCGGACACAGGATTAGCAGCATTACATGAAAGACCGCCGTGCAGCACTCCAAACTATCGCCCAGCAGGATACAGCATCTTTGTCGTGAAAGCACATGGAGGGGGCGTACTTGGTTGCTGGGGAGGAGGGGATCGTATTTGGTCCTTGTTGGGAGAGGGGGGGGGTGGGTTGTATGTGCCTTTGAGAGGATTTTGCCGGAGTTGGGGAAGTTTTTCTCGGTTTTTCGAGCTTTTCGCGTGAATGGCACGTGTTCCTATTTCGCGTTTGTACATTTTCCCCACTCCCACGCGTCGGACGAGAAATTTGTGGGTGAAAAACTGGAAAATGTGTGGGAAATTGTGGAAAAAGTGGTAGGAAGCTGGGAACTTATACGAAAGTGGTAGGTAGGTATTGAGGAAGGGGGAGTCGTACCGAGAACCTTGTTCAACGTGGGGGGGGGTCGTACTGACACCACCATTTCACACATCACGATGCTGTACCCTGTCCGTCACAGTGACGGGGCCTCTACCAACCGGATATTTTCTCGCTGCGAGAGTCCAGAGCTGTTTTCTCATCGTGTCTACCGAGCTTTTGAAGGGAGTGGGGAGGGGAAATAAGCAAGAAAGAAGAGAAAGGGATGGAAGAAAGAGGGAGTAAAGAGGGCGGTAGACTAGACAGATATCCAAAGGCCCCTCCCTGTCACAGGTACCATAATTTGCTGGGATCATAACTCTTAGGCAGCGTTCAGACTTCGCGACAGCGCCGTTTCAGCCGGCGTGCTCAACTTGATCGATACAGTCGGAAGCATGCGCATCAAGTGCGTCGAACGCGCGACCGAGGTCGCGAGGTCTGGACGTTGTCTTACGTTTCTGGGAAGGAAGGGTCAACCTAAATAAAACGTTTTTCAGGAAGATGAAAGCGACGAGGACGAAGAAGAGGCCGAGTACGATGAAGCTGGTAATCGCATTGTCCCTCCAAGCACAAAACGATACATCTATACCGTTTTCGACTAAATGGCCGTAAAATCAACACGTTCGGTCCTGCATGGGTCAAGGATTCTTGGCAATACCCAGTCATGCCAACTGCTCAAATCACCAACTCAGTGATCTCATCATTATTCTTTCATATTCAACATTATGTGTCGTGTCCTGTGTTTGTTGGTCCACATGAATTTTCCAGAAAATTTCATATAAATCTCACAAAAACAGAGATTCATGCATGTGTGTTGCATGGAGTAACCGAACACAAACACAAAAATTGCGCTGAACGACAACAAACACAACTAGTCAAAGGAGGAAACTGTTAAGCTTTTTCAAATAAAAACTATAAATAAATCGATATTGGAGTATCATAGGTAAGACAAATACGAACAACTGAACATTATTAAAGTCTGTCAGACAAAAACGAATCGCGATGCTACACTGTACCATCAGATCCATATGAGGAAAAGTCCGTAGTTTCCGCTGTTCATTACAGAACTCGTATTGATGAAAAGAAACGATGAGAAATGATTGCATCAATGGAAAACCAAGAACACGACCGGATCATGCGACTGGTCTAGCACGCCCCATTGGAAGAGCCGGCGGTGGCATTAGCGCTCGATCCTGATCCTCCTAAAACAAGCACGAATTCAACCAAATTAAATAAACCGAACCGTAGAAGCCTAATTTAGACCAGCTGTCATAGGAGCCCCGGCATTACCATTGATCCTACATTTCTTTGAGAATCCTCTTGGGCGCCATGCTCAGCTTTACATATAAAGCAAGTCTGCCGTCAATGTCGCCCTGTTTCCCAGGGCGAAAGGATCAAGTTCCCTCCTTGGGCTACGGCATGCATTCGACTTCCATACATAATCTAGCGGTTTATTAAATGCGATGGGACCTATGCAATGACTTGCGGAAGAGCCGATACTTAAAGGCAGTTGGCACGATAATATGGTATTCGGCCTAAACTGCTAGCAGGGCGCTGTTAAAAGGAAAATGGCGAAAAAACGAAGTGAAACGGTCGAAAACTGCGAAGAAAAGCCTTCGTTCTTGAAAAGCAATTTTGGACGAGTTTCCCGTAGGCATCTTGCCAATAACCGCTACCGAAGGTACGGCTGCATATGTGTACTCATATATCCATGCAGCATCGCGGCCGCTTCATACCAATCCCTTCGCTTCATAATTTGCTTAGCAAATGAATCGATTAGAGCGTCAGGAACGGTCGTCCATTTGTGGGCGGGCGGGCGTGGTGGGCGTTCGGGTCGGTATGTTGTGGCTTGATAGGGCCCTTATAAGGGCACCTTCCTTGGAAAAGCGCTATGCAGCGCCTGCTCAGGGTCGCGGAATTCGTCCTGCCAGGCGTATTGATCCTACTCGTTTTTGGGGATTTATCGTGCCAACTGCCTTTGAGTCAGTGTGTTTACCTTTCCAGGCAAATCTGGTATAAATGTACCCTCCAAAGTAGGGCAAACGGGTTATCCTGGGCGGGAGCCGACTCATTATTCGACGCCCAAAACGCGAGCCTGGCCCTACATTACCTCCGCCTCATTCACATCCATACCACGCAATAATTTGCACCCAAACTCCCCCCCCTTGTCAATGAACAGGCAAAATCGCCTCAAATGCCCCCATGGGAAATGCGTTTCGGACCTAGAAAGCTCCAAGCCCCTTATAGTTGCCCATAGCGAAAAAAAATTCTGACCAAGAGCTGTTTCAACTATCGATCTGTGAGGATAAATATTTGAACGAGTTTCGAAATCCAAGCTAGGGATAATGCCCAGAGACCAACCTTTTCTATACCGTTTGTTACTTCCTCACATAGCTCGTCATCGAGGCATCTAAAAAGGAATTCAGAGGATAGTGTAGAGTAATAAAATGACAACAATATGAGAAAATATTTACGATATCACAATCATGATAGACATGAAAGTGTTGAAACTAAGCCCAAGGACACACTTGTGTGGGAGCTTCATAAAGACGTGCGAGCGCTCCCTTCATTATTCGAAAACAGCATTTAGCAGTTCAATCAAGAACCCATAAGAGCACGTAATTTCTCCCACAAAGAGGCTAACCATCTGTGACTTCAGCCACTGATGATTAGCCTAATTTTTGAAAAGTTTTGTTAAATGTTTGCAGAAAGTCGGACTCCAAACAGGACTCGAACTCGAACCTTTTCCCTTTCCGAGCAAGTGCGCCATTCGTTACGCCACCAAGGCAGCTCTTACCCTCCCGACTTGATGGCTTTTATTCCACAGCAAAGCTAACCCTCAAGTGGGGAGAATAAGAACGGCCCCGGTGGCGTAACATACAGCTCACTCGATGGGAAAGCGCGTGGTGCAGGATCGAGTGTCGCCTAGGGTGGGGCGTTTAGCCATAACTCAGCATTCTTGAGGTAACCTTCAAAGGGCGATATGCGGCTAAAACAGTTGTTATCGTATAGAGAAACTTCATCAAGCCAAATCTTTAGCGCTGTCGGAAATCGAACTTACAAGCTTTCGCTCAGTAGGCGAGATACTAAAACCTGCGCGAATGCGCCTACTCTCGGTGAAAGGGAATGAATTTTGATATGTCACCACTACATTGCGCCGCTGCAAACTTTGAGAGCTCATTACTTACTACTACACCTCAGACAGCCTTTTAGGCTTGCACATTTTCAAACAGCACTCAGGCTATCGAAACCCGGTCTCCATTAAAACTGGTAGTTGCGAGCTTTCGTCGCCAGTGCAACTTTTGTAAGATTAGTTATTGAGGCTTGCCGAATGACACAAAGAGTAAAAACAGTCAATGGGAAACAATTTCGCTTACTTTTCAGACCGCTTAATCTTGCGTGGACGACCCCGTTTTGGTTTTTCACCGTCCGTCGTGGCGTCCGCCTTCTTTCCATTGAGTGCCTTGCGGGTGGATGACGCCGAGGAAGCAGGCGATGGCGAAATCGCTGTCACAGGCGGAGGTACAGGTGGCTGGAACACATCACATAGACCATAAAATGTGACTGCAAATTTCGAACTTGTGATACCCATGCATTTCCCCACAAAAAACTGGCTGTTATTTCTTCAAAAAGCACTTCACTAGAGACACTTCAAAATAAACGCTCGGTGGTTCTTTCAAGCGAGTACATTTACAAAGGTTGAACACAATTACATACTAAAGCACAGAAAAAAAACGGCTCGAGAACTTACATATTGCATCGCAGGAGGAATCGGCTGCGCCTGCCCAGGAACAACCATATTGGACAATATCGGGGAATAGGGCATGTTGTAGGGTACAGACCCTGGGACGGGAACGGAATACGGAGACCCATTGGTTGACGGAGGAACTGCCATCGTTGCAGGGTTACCAACTCCCATAGGCGAAATCGGAGTACAAGGGCTAGAAACTGGACTTGCACTCGGACCAGGAACCACAGGAGTCGGAAGTCCAGCCTGCAAAAAAAAGTTAGGGTTGTGCGAAAAAACCCTCTCTGCACAAAATAGTCGTCAGTAATTCGTAGTCAATAATTTATTAATACACTTTCACACTTGCACGGGTGTATTGTTTACGCGCAGCACCGCACTGATGAAGGTTCTGTACGTCGCCGAAGCATATGCTGGGCTGCCTTCATACTTTGTGGCAGCGCCCACAAAAAACCACCAGCGTTTCGAACAAACCCCGCGTCTGCAAGCGTCCACCACAAGTCCCGGGGACTGACGAAGTAACGGTACCTATATAAAGAACGCTAGCGTCCACCAGCGCTTGCCAGCGTCCAGGAAAGGAGAGTATGGGGAGGTAGGAGGGTAGCAGACACCTGGATAAGGCGTTGTGAAACTGCGGCGCGTGCACCGCACCACCCCGAACATCAAGTTTGCATGATTCTGGACATTAGTACGGTGCGGCTACCACACCGCAATTTCATGACGCCTTATCCGGCCGTCTGCTACCCTCCTACTTCCCCATACTCTCCACTGGTAAACGCTGCAACCCTGGCGTTAGCTAGATCGATACCCATACGTTCCTAGTCGCAAGGACAAAACGCTGCCATACGCTGACGCAAAGTATAAACGCAGCCTCAAAGGGCTCGTATTCTTGGTGAGCTTACTTCTCTTCACCGAAACCAAATCATTTTTTATTACCAAAACCTCAAAACCTCTCCCCGGCATTCTTTCTTTTGAACCCCTTCCTCAAGTAACTGTACCAAAGGACCAGTTTAACGTTTTGACAGAAAAAACATCTAATTTTCAGAAGCTCAGCATTTTTAACTATGAACAAAATGTAGTGATTAGTACCTGTAAAAGTTGCATCTGTTGACGCGAAAGGTTCGGATCGAACTCAGGTCCCATTCGTCCAGGAACAGCTACTTCTTTGAAAATATCGGCAAGGAAATGGAAGTGTCGGTTAGCCATCATAGCTTGCTTCCTACAGGAAAAAACAACTATAAAAATCGAAAGTAATAAATATTGATTGCTATCAAACCTACATATGAGCTGGTGTCAAAGTCCGGGAGTTGCTCATCTGTGTAGCTTGTGCGGCAGCCTGCAACATGGGAGTATGACGTGTATGACGTCGTGTAATGTAAATGTCCGCATGCAATGTGATGGAAATATAATGTACAAGTGTAAATAACGTCGCACATCACTAAGTAAGCAACCCTGCCGGACTCGAACGCTCAGAAAACAAACCAAGTTTGAATAAAAAAAACCCAGTCCTCTACGTTTCCATTCACTCGCTATATAAAATCAACAAAGCAGTTTCATTACTTCGGGAAGAATTCTCAAACTTGAAAAAAACGAATATCCACCTGAGCCACATGAATTTCCCAACCAAGAAATGTTTTGAAGAGACATGCCGCTAAGAAATAAAGAGTACTCTGCGAATAAAACTGGTTACTCACTTGGCACCTCTTGGCTCACTAGATGCCAACTAAAAAGCATTCGGACATCGTTTCTGGTTCTACCAACGGGATTTTCTGGTCTCATCTTTACTTATGAAGCAATCAGCACCCGCAGTTCACAAAATGATCCCTACCGTTCACGACTTGCGGCCCCACAACGTTGATCTTCAGAAGGTAGAGTTTCTCTGCGGACAAGAATAACAAGTTTCAAGCTACTAACGTTTCCTGATCGCTTCAGGAACATCATGTTACCACTCTGCTCAACTTTGACACCTACACCCTTCATGCGTCCGGCAGTTTTTCCGTCAGCCTTTCCGCTGCCAATTTACTTGAACTATTGGGCATTGTCCTCTTTCCAATTCTTCTCGGATATCTTGATACCGTGAAAGATCAACATTTTTGATGCTTTCTGCCCACTTTTTTTGCTATAAATATCGCAAAGTGTTTCTGATAACCGTCCTTCTATTTCGCTTGGTTTCTTTCTTTCTTTCTCTTCGTTCAATCAACGTTTCTCTCCCTCCGCGAGCAGGTACACTTTCCGCAATGGCAACAACTGCACCATTTTCGCGGAGCAAAAGCGAGTTAGAAGGACGACAGGACCGTCGTTCCTCTCATTGGCCCGATCCACTTTCACTGCTCTGCTCAGCCAAAATAACAGAAGATCTGCCAAGGAACATTGGCAGGAACATTGTCGTTAATAAGAATCAGCTGTGATCAACCACGGCGACGATACCGACCACACGAGTACCACTTGCCCGCTGATCCATCCGATCACACTCTTTGCTCTATTTCTATTCGCACGAATGCGCTTGTTGGGGAGTTTAATTGAGGGCAATTGGGACAATCATTTCATTGACTTTCATGGCATCTTGGCATCGCTGTCTCCACTGCCTAGGCCTTCCTTCCGACCGAGGACTTTGCTTAAAAAGTACCCCCACCGAATATGACAAGTTACCGTCAGTTCTACATGTGAAACTGGATAACAGTGAACCCCATTAATACAGTCTTTTTTCAACTCATCAAATGTTGCAGTGAAACAGCCAATACTAACCCATCACTAATCGAGCTGAAGAATATGACTAGTTTAAATTGGACTTGAACCAAATTTCAGTCGGCCGTTCGCTGACAATCAACGCTATCTAACAAAAGGCCACTCATTCGAACACATGTAGCTACCAGAGTATGACTCTCCGTGAAGAGGTACACCCTGTTTGAGTGGTTGAAGGCAAGGAGCACGACGGCTGAAGGCGGACGGTTGCTGCTAACGGCATTGGTGGAAGGGCTGCACGCGATTGTTTGACCATACACCATTTAGCCCTTCCACCAATAACGGTGACAGCAACCTTCCGCCCCTGCCATCGTGCCCACACTCGGGAGTTCGTGAGCTTTGCTACCAACAACCTGGGGTAAAAAAACTTTGTAGCAAAACGATCGGCATACCTGAAGAAACTTCTCAGCGAAATGCTCCATTGCCCTTCCTATGGCAACTGGGACGGATGCAACCATCCGACCAATTTCTTCATCTGATTGCATAACTTTCTTGATTCGTGTCTATAAAGCAACACATTAAAGCAAAACGTAAAACTCGAGCTCTAAACGTAGGAAAAAGAAATGACGAAGCATGGACGGATCCAAGGATATTCTCCAAACACATCTAGAGAAGAACAAAGAGCTCTACCACGCCCCAGACTTGCTAGTTTGATGTTTTTCAATAACAAAAGTTCGTTAGAATATGGAAGGGGAAAGAAATCGTATCGATACGCATAGTAATCGACACAGCATTGTTCCCATAATCAATTTGCCGCAATTTTGACCTCAAAAATCAACAAGACCCTCAAAAATTACGGCAATTTCAGAAAAAAAGATTACTCAGACAATATCAGCAACGTTTCAAATCATAACTAATCCCATATGAGCATTTCGGTCTATAGACGACAACTACCCTGCCCAAATTGTTAATGTGCATAATTATTACAGTTTAATAGTTGAAACGTTTCATCCTCAGCATACTAATGCAATTTGGGATGGAACCTTTCCGCAGGACATGGAAGGAGTTACAGACAGCTTCGGGTATTTTAATTGCCACAAATTTTGCTGGCACTGCCATGTGCATTACACGAGGAACCATATGGAGTCTGACACGAGAAGGAAATAATCACTCAGAACCTTGCAGCTCTCTAATTTTTTTGGCTGAATTTCGGTCCTAACCCTATATCGTATCTAGGAACCAAAGTTCAATCGCTACTGCAACGCGTACTGCGGGCTTGGTGACGATCACACTTCCAGACAGTTATATTTGGCGGATTGTATGTAGTAGGATTATATGTGCACTCCTGTTGAGGTTGGAATTTCAGAGGTACAACGCCTATGTACTTCCTAAATCGGACGAGCAACTTGACAGTTGTTCAAAATAGATTGTAAAGCAATCTCTTTCAAATTCACATTCGTTCACTTGGCAAGTCTCAGTAATTCGGCCCTCCACGGATGCTAAACACAGATGTCGTGTGTAGATGTCAAGGGACATCGTTCAAGAATAGAAACAACCTCACATTGGCGACAATCTTCATCAGTTTATGTAGGAGGAGAATATATCGAATGGCGCAGCCGTCATTGTAATACTGGAATACTACTGAAAGCCACCTCCACCCCTTCTTTGCAGCTTATTTTGCAACGGACATTTCGTCCTGGTCACTCATCATCTGGGCTTGATCGTCCCGTATTGGCAAGACGCTAGCATAGACGCCGAATCAAAATACATCCATGGACGAGATTCACTGAGCTGTTTCCAGATATTTCGACTTGAAACTGCACAGGGTTGCTAAGAAGCACTCTGTAAGAGGGACCCCTCGAGCTACTTTGCAAAAAGCACGTGGATTCGAGCATGGAACATCCTACATATCAGAAAAAAAAGGAATAAAATTGATGAAGAACTTGCCGGCTGGATTTTCGCAGTGCTGAACCGACGACGCCGTATTGGGCCGGCAGTTGAAGAAGGAATATTAATAGAACTTCCCATGGAAATGGACGGACCTAAACAATAAGCACTGAGTAGGCATACTTTGTCACACGCGATTTTTTTTTCCAAAATTTTATAACATCCTCGCCACACTATTATTGCACAAGGGCTATTATAGCGTCGAATGTTATTGTTTAGTATCACATGGCCCCTTCCGGTATGTGCTCAATGCCTTATAGCCGCAACCTCGCACAGTGTGAGACATGCTGCCACACCATTCAGAACCATCCTGATTCTTAGGGCACATTCACACTCGACAACTTTGAAGAAATGACGAAGCTGTGGATAGAACACTGCATATCTATCGATTTAAACGAACTGCGGAATTGGGAGAAATGCAGAAATGCGGAGTGATGGACAACAACTTGATAGGAATTGATCGCTTAACCCCACCAGCAGGTGAAATGCCGACATTCTGGCATTTCTTCCAATTTCGCGATTTCCAAATCAATAGATATACTTTCCTTCTCCTGCAAATTTTGCGTTTCTCCAGTTCCGCAGGTCTGCATCTGCACATTCCGCGATTCCGCATTTCTGCATCATCTATGAACGTGGTCTTAGGGTTCGCACAGTTTCCAATGCTCAAGAAACATTTACAAAGATTTGTGGGCGTAATTTAAGGTGTTTAATATAAGCCATTTTCGACCTTACTGCAGAAATAGCAATTGCTTTGTGTGCTGATTCTTGACAAGTTTGAAAACGGATGATTAAAGACAGTCATCGTTCCTAAATAAGTAGACTTTCCTCCCTTCTTCACGCGGGGAGTCCGACCCTCAGTCTCTGACTTTTACGACTTCACAAGTGACGAGGGCGCTGCGGCAGTTCTGACGCTTCCCTAGTAGCCCCACCCACCAGAACAGAAGGGCTACTACTTGTCGCGAGTTCACTTTTTTCTTACAGTGTTTTTCGTCCTATTTTCCTTTATTAGATGGTATGAGCACTGAATGACGCATGCAACGATTAGTGAGCCAGGGGCGGCAAGATGTCGATTTGCTGGCATTAAATGATCAGGTCTGAAAAAAAAAACGCTCGAAACGCTGCCACACGCTAAGTCAACACCGCTTTCCTACTCGCTTAGAACGCTGTCGCGCGCTCTAAACCGACATAAATGATGAGGGCTAATGCCGTTTGGACTCCAGCAATTTCGGCACCGAGCTCATTTTTAAATTGCCTAAGTCACCAAATCCGCTAAAAACTTGTATATAGGGGTAATTCAACATCCTGATCACGAATATGACATTCATTTTTGGCGCTGGCGCTAATGGATGACACTACGATTATCTGCGCTGCTGAGCCCAGGAGGTAATCGTAGTGTCATCTCTTGGCGCCAGCGCCAAGAATGAGTGTCATAATTGTAATCACGATATCAGATGCGGGTTTGGTGACTCAGGCAATTTGAAAATGACCTCGGTGCCGAAACTGCTGGAGTCCAAACGGCATTAGCCAATGATGAGCACAGCCAACGCTGACGCGAACTTGCAGAATGGCCATTCCCGATACATAGAGCGTCTATTCGATACGTCTATTAGAGCGTCTATATTAGAAGGGCTTCTATTCAACGCATATCGAATCCTACCGAAAACATCAAAAAACCGAGTCGGTGTATGCGACAAAAAGTGGGGCACATGATGAAATGTTCGACGCCCTGTGTGGGAGGAGGGAAAGAAAACTAGAAGTTAACGCGTGAATCAAAGTCTAAACAGAGAGAGGGGGTGAATCTTGATGAAAATACCGAAAAAAATAAGACAGTAGAAAAGTATTCACACAAAAGTTTTGAAGGGGATATGGCAATAAACCGCCGAAAAAAACGCACTATGCCGTCCGGATCAATTACTTAAGGGTTCCGCAGAAGACGGGCCATAAAAGAAGCGGAATAGAACAGTCTTCGCATTTCATTACATACCATTGACGCATGTACATCCAGAGCCAATGGTCATCACGCTCATTTGATTAAAAAAAAGTTGAATGAGAGAAAAAAGAAAGCGTCATGGCATTCTCAACAGGAAGCTTTTCTAGCCGCAATTATAGAAATTCCGCGAAATGAAAGCCACATACAACTTGATTGGGAGCAGGGTCGAAAGAACAAAGTCTCTATAGTCTAAGGAACGTTGAGCTAAATGGTGAAGGAATGAAGACAGAGGGTTGAAATGTGAACGGCTCTAAAAAAACGTCTACGAACTACTCGGTATATGCTATATGTTCTTCACACGTCATAAACAGTAAGAAAAAGGAAGAAGTAATGAATAGAGAATGCAACACAGAGAAAGGTTAGAGGGGGAAAATATGTAGCAATGAAAAATAAGCCCGGGAGTCCACAAGAAGGGTGAACTACCACCTCTTCGTTGAAGACAAACCCCCAGACTGCATAAGGTGGACAGTGGCTTTCAGTACGAACCTATAGTCCTTAAATGACTGTGCAGGAAAAAAAAGCCAAAAAATGTCATGGAGTACACCCTAAAAACCTGACACCCTCTCTGGACGAGTTCTCCGGACCGGCTCGTTTTATTTTGCCTGAAAAACAATATCCCGCCGTCTCTGGCTAACTAATCGTTTCTTCGCGTCACCCGATGCTAGTAGATTAACAGTGGAAAAATCAAAAAACAGGGTGTCAGAGCTGAACTCGCATTAGAAAATAGCCTTCGAGTTTTGGTAGGCGGGGCGTCTAAGGAGGCGTCAGAACTGCCATCCTGAGGGCCGCAGCGCCTTTGTTACATACTGCGAAGCCGTGAAAGTGTGAGAATCTTGAAAACAGTAGACCAGATTACTTGAAAACCTGTTACGTCTATGAATAGATTGAGCGCGAGGACCGTCTTCAAACAAACAGTTCTTGCATACAAAAAGAACTAACTGTAAAATATTGCGGAACCATTTTCATGAAAAATTCAAAATTCAAATCTTCGATTCCAAACTGAAGATCTTCGATCCGTCAAACATCAAATATTCACTGAACAGTCATATGCCGAAAGAACATTGCTAGAAGGTAAAACTGTTGATAAAACTCAAATGGCCCGAAATGGTAATTAGCACTTGGTTTCATCGAGTTTCATTTCGAAATAGTGACTGCTTTCATTAGTTTCGTGGAACACATGATTAATTCTTATGAGGATTTAAGTAGTTTTAAAGTTTTATGACGATAATGAGTCAATAAGTCAGACAGCTTCTCTGCGTTCCAGCCAGACAGCACCTCTAGTCCATTGCTATTCGCAGGAAACTGCCACGAGAATTACCGAATTGTGAGTCTACGGCATAAATCCCACAGGAATTGTTTCACTCTGTTTTCCTGATTAATTCCTTTGGAAAAAAGGGTTCTATATTCAAAAAGTTGCATGGCAGAATAAATTAAACGGTTGTCTCCTTCGCCTAACTGAAGGAACGTTATGAAGTGTCGACAATTCGAATATTTCCCCCATCGCAGACCACCAAACCGACAGTCCTTGATGTTTAGCTTTAACTTTTGGTGCTTTTCGGAACTCATTTTTCGAACTAAGCATCTCAGATTTGCACTGAAGGGACACCAGTTTACGATAGCTGTGGGGTAAACACCCCCATGTGACCACCCAAGGGAAAGAAACCTGTCAGTTTAGCTATGACGATGGGAATACTCGGTAGAAACAGATCCTCCCACAAGGCTAACAGCAGTGTACCTATAGGAAGCTGCGAACGATACTAAAACTTAATTTTCAATTAGTTTTATAATGATGACTATTGCTTTCACCACATTAAGGTAAGCAATAATCATCAAAAAATGCGATTATGGACGGAATGCTTTACCTCGAACCACATCTCTCGCTCACCGGACTAGTTTACTTGCCACTACACCACCATTTTCTTACGCCCACAACTCAGCACACGTAAGGTAAATTTCGCATCACAAATTACGACTAAAACCAGCAGTTATCTTAATGAGGCTAATCTAAACCGTAAAGCTTTCAGCCTTGCGAATCAGCGCCGATATCGGCTTATTGGCTCATCGCGTTATATGCGTGACTGCTGTAAAGTTATGGCATCAAAGCCATTATGTTGAGAGGACCAGGACACCCTGATGATGTAACGGTTTTTCAGAAAAAAAAGAGCGTTCAGAACCCTTATCCCTTAGAACACTACCTAAGGTTGGTCCGTTGCCCATAACTCTGCATTCTTGCGATCAGCTTCTGAGTTTAGCAGAGAATAATCTCCCAACACATGTAACCACGTTCCGCACTTCATAAATGAAAAAACCCCGTGGCACATTCAAAATGTATTAATCACATATCCATTTTTATATATCCTTAAACACGAACATGTGTCATGGAAACGACTACCCACTCTGATTTCATAATATAAACGCATGTCATGGGACTTGGAGCGCTTTCCTCAAACACATTTTCAGAAATGTCACACGACTCTCCTTTCATTTCGCTAAAAAGAAAAAGAAAGAATAACGTAATAACGTCATTCTATAAAAAAAGTGTGAACTGAGGTGTACTCATGTAATATAATACTTGACGCTAGTGCAGTATCGTACTGTATTTTTTTCAGTGCTAGCATTTACTTTTATTATAAACAATTAGTAAAAGCTTTCTGCGTATTTCTAAGCATAGAAGAAAGAGTGCTAGTAGGTAGCTTTATCCCCATCGTAAGGCAAAAATTCTGCCCATCTTCCTGGCCTAAAAGCGGATCCGCGCGCCTCCTAGGAATGAATGCCATCTAACATAGAAAAGCTGCGAGAAATACATATTGTTAGCTGCGGATGAAGGGATGCATCAGGCGGCATGGATCTGGCGCGGCGCTAAACCCGCTTTCCACCAATTAGTGAAGAAGCAAGCGGCAAGACAGTGAAACATCGTTCGCGTCAACTGATTTCCAAAAACTGCTGTCACACCTGCTTCAAATACCGAAAAAGAGCGAGCTGGCTGTACTACAAACCCGACCTCACTGACACGCCCCATTATTCGCAGTGAACAAGAATGGAGAAGCTTGGACCGCATTCACTCTTTGCGTCAACGTCCACCTCCGCTTCGAGCGTACGTCAGCGACTAGGAAAGTATGGACAGGGTACAGCATCGTTGTGTCAAACCCATGGGGGGGTCGTACTTTTGCTCTGGGGAGGGGGGGGTCGTATTTGTAAGACAAATTTATTTTGATAGTTGATTTTTTCTTGTGGAAAAGGGGGTCGTATTAATTTTTTATATGCACTATATGCATTTTATACGCCCGTGGGATATACGTTGCATAGTAATTGTTCGAAT